TAGCCTTGGCAATCGCGAAATATTCGTACAATAATAATAAAAGAAGGGGCGCGGGACAGGATATATACGAGCGAAACGCAGACAGGATGTGGCCAGCGAAATTTCTCGTTTCAACGGGAAGAAGAGGATGGTGGATCGATCATCGAACGGCGGAGGAGAAGGCGAAAAACGACGAGAAGTCATTTGCATGGAGGCACGACAAAGGTCGCGGAGGTTAAATTAACATCGCGAGCACAACGGGCGAAAATAATTGATAATTACAGGCGCGCGAGTTCTCGCGCACCTACCATTTACATGTATGCAAATCCGCCACAATTCACCGCGTCATTGCCCCGCGCGGTTGTTCGCTTCTTTCGTCGAACGGGGACCGCCTCGAGATCTTCGTTTCGAGGAAACGATTCCATCCCGATTCTCGTCTCCGCAACGATCGTTCCTCGCAACCATCCGATGATATATGGAACGGTGCGACGGAAGCCACGTACGGGTTGCCAACAGACGAAATTGATTCGAATCGTGGCGAGCCGGCCTATAATGCTGGATAACTAATGACCCTCCCGCAGACCTGTTATCACGACAGGAACGGTCGGTCACGTACCGATTCTACGTGCACCAGTTCAAACCGCGGTTTTCAATCGCGACATCCGCACCCGATTCGTTGCTATTCGCCTCGCGTTAATTATTAGCTATCGCCGCCTCGTTCTCGAATTATCGCGCACTTCGATTCTATTCGAGCGCGAAATGCCGTTCGTTTTCAATTCTACCGGTAGATACCCGGTCAGTGATCGTGATTTTCGTGAAACGTAAAACGAAATCGGATTCGCTAAATACTTTTTTTTTTCCGATAGAAATAAGTAATTTCGAAAATTTGAGTAGAAAAAAAATAAGATGAAACGCGTATTCACGACTCGTGTCGACGAAATTCTTCAAAAAAAAAGTTCTCGAAATTACGGCACGGGCCATTATAAACATCGTAGCGTTGAGGATATGAAAGGACGGGTAAACTCGTTCGTTGGCGAGGGATCCTAAACGATCGTTCCAAGGCTGCGAATTATTGCCGTTATTATATCCATAAATAATAAATCGAGTAGAAGTCATTTGGTATCGCGATATAATTTAGGCCAAGTTCTAGACTCAACCCCTCTTCCCCTCCTTCCTTTTAGACGCAATTACCGCCAACGTGCGATTTCAATATCCGCATCGCGCCGGCTTAACCGGCTAATCATAGGTGTCCATCCCTGCCCGTTAATCGGCGTCGCGAACGAGGAGGAGAGAATGACGAACGGTTGGCGCGAAAAAAAGAAGAACACGAGCGAAACGAGGGATGGAGAGGGACGCCACGCGAAGCGGCAATCGTCGATGCATCGGGATCAAATTGAAAAGTAATATCGATACCGAACTGTGACATAATTGCTCGAACGCAATTGGCTCACGTACAACCGCGACCACGTCCGGCAAGATAATTACAAACTTCGCCCCTCCCCTTCGCCTTGGTTTTCTCTCTGAATCCCCTCGCCTCGCCTCGCCTCGCCTTCCAACACTCGAACAACACCTTTCATGCGTGCACGAAGACCCGAGAGCTATCGGCTTTTAATAATCCGCTCGTGAAACTCGTTAAGATTCCCGCCGGGCACCGTCGATCGGCGTAATGCGAGCATTTCTCTTCTAATTGGCGAAATCGAGGTCTCAATCGAGGCGAGGCGGAAGCGTCGAGGGCCTCTCTCCCCCGTTTCACTCGTCAACATCCAAAAATTAACCGTGAACACGATCGTGAAACAACCGTTCGTTACGGGACACGAGTTATTCGAGTCATCGATGTTCGAGTTGAAAGTGAACGACGCCAACAACCGGGGATACCATGGAGATTTCGAGAATACGAGAATCGAATCTTCCCCCTTGGAGGGGGGGGGAGAGAGAGAGAGAGAGGACGTTGCCTCTCCGCGAGGAGAGTGTAACGGACGCGTTTTAAAATGGAAGATTAATTCTTGGGAACCTTTTAGCGTGATTTCGGTGATCCTTTATGGGCTTTGGACCCGTGTAGGGGTATTACAGTGACATACGGTCGTCGCTTAAGTTAATAGTCGATGCGTTAACACGGGCATGGCGTTATAAAGGGAAAGATGGACAGGCTTACGTGCGCTTCGCCCACGCGATGACACCGGTCGCCTGGGGTGAGCGTGTATACACTTATATACGTCGAAGGGAGGAAGAAAGAAAAAGAAAGAGAAATTGAGGAAGAAGAAAAAAAAAAGGGAAATTATTACGATTCTTCCAATTTCCAATTCTTCGTTTCCCGTTGGATCCTGAAGTACGATCGAAAGCGGGATATCACGGAGCGGGAATTATTATAGCAAACGAGGTGGCAAGACACCGAGTATTATCCCATTAGAATAAATGCAAAGTAGAGCCTTCTCCCATCTCGATCCACCGTCTCCTCTCCTTCTCCGTTTCTCTCTCCCCTCCCCCCCCCCTTCCTTTCCACAGATAATATCCTCTCTCGTTTCCTCTCTGTCGCCGTTCGTCTGGGCTGGCGCTAGGGTGGAAAATGGGAGGCAGTCGGTAGGGCGCATTTACATGATATGAATATAATGGAGAGGGCCGGGTCGCTGGCAAACCCGAGAGCGCTACCTGTTGAACCAAGAGTTCAAACCGACGGTGACCTAGAGGATATATTCGGCCGGTGCGGAGATCCCAACCTTCGAGGTCGTTCGCTCCTCTTCTTTCGTCTCTCTTTTCGTTCCAAGATTGTTCGAGATACGCGGTATTTGTTAACCTGCATCGCATCGACCAACGATTCAAAGATCGGGCGGGGACGAAGACGAAGTTTCGAACGAAAGGGCGAATGTAAATCGCGAAACGGAGACGGAGAACAGAATTTCTCCGTGAGAAGGAGCGAGCCTTTCGGGGCCGGGCCGCAACAAAGAGCCGGTGTTGGAGGTATTACGCGAGAAAAGTGAAGAGGAAATGTCACCTGTCCAATTAAGGACCACCAATCTCCTATCGCCGATACGATCTCGCGCACGAGGCCAACCTCCGTTCCACGAAACGAACGTCGTCGCGGCCATAAATATGTATAAGACGGAGCGCGTGTCATTCAGCCGGGACTCCGGATGTTTCCCTCCTTTCTTTCTCCCTCCTCTCTCCGCCGATATTACGTGCCCCCTTCGAACGGGACGTAAGAGTAGTTAAATCTCGGGCGCGCGTATCTCGATACGGAAGCTGATCGTTTCCTTCAACTTCGCTTCGACGAAAAACGTTTCGAACGATTGTGGGATCCGCGAACGGAAGGAATGGTAGGAAAAATTCCGCTTCTTGAAATGGAGGGAGAAACGAAAGGTGGAGCCGTTCTATAAGAAAGGCCGATAAAATCGTCCACGATACCCACCCGCACACCTCTTGCGATCTCGCGATCAATTTTATCCGGATGCTTCGAACTTTTCGAAATTCCAAGTTTGGTCCCAGGACGAAGGTGTCGTGGAAATTGGAAACACGGCGAAGAAAGCACGAAAGCGAGTATGTACGAGCGAGTGTGTGCACGCCTCCTCTCGATCATCGTTTCGCCGAGAATATTCATGAAGCTCGAAAGCTAACGGGACGGCAGCTCGTATTCCGGCGATTTCGAGAGGTGGTCGCGGTTTACATCCGCGTCGACACACGACTCGATATCGTCGGCCGACCAGGAAATATTTCGTCGTTCGGCTCGAAACGAGGCGAGTTTCGAAATAAATTCGCCGTCCTCCAACAATCGTCCTTCGCCCGATACGGCAATCGTCGTGGAACGAAGACGAGGCGAGATTAATTTCAATTCTCGTCGCCCCTCGGCCACTTCCTACGAGACGTAGGTAAACGACGCACACCGATTCCAAAGAATCCCGGCACGAGGAATGGCCGACAATGGAGGAAGGAGGAACGACACGAGGGCGCCGCTTCTCCCCGTGAGACGACGGAATCGTTCTCGCAGCCGGGTCACGATCACTGTTCGAGGACCACTGTTCGTGTCGCGCCGACGCCGCATATATCCATTAACGATATACGATCGATACCCGTTCGAACCTCGATCGAGCGAGAATCGCCGCCATCCCCTCCCCTCCTTCGAGAAACGCATTCCAGAAAACTTTTACCGCTCGCGTATATATATACCGCCAATTTCCTTCGAAATCGCGCTCCGCTTTATCACCCGTCCTTCGTTAACGCGCGAACCGCATTCGTCCGCATTCCAGGCTTCTTTCTTTTCCTTTTTTTTTGTTTTTTTTTTTGTTTTTTTTTTTTCCTTTAAAAAAACCTAATCGAGCGGAGATCTCTCTCTTTCCCTCTCTCGACCGTGTCGCTGCGCATTTCCGTTAATGGAGGCGATCGTGAAAGTCTCGATCCCGAGTGGCGATGGATCGTTTATCAACCGCGCGGCTCGTAATTACGCTCGACCAATAACTCGTGCGCGATCGTGCAACGCGAGCGTGATCGTGGAGCTGCGAAAGCTAGGAACGTCGGAGAAATACGATTGGACGGGGCAACATCTAGGCGGAGACGGGGTTTATTAAACGGGTTGAGGGGTCGAGCGCGTTGACGGGGTTTAAGGGTTAAAGGGAAAACACGGGAAGGAGCTTTATCCTCTCCTCCCTCCGGCCAGGCAAACCGCACGCGATTTATGCGCGACCGAACGGCTCTCACGCGAGCCCCGCACAGCACGCTTTTCGTTCCAGAATCGCTTGTCGAAAACCTCTGGCCCGAAGATCAAAGCTCCAGACGGTCTTAAGAAAACCGTGCGCAAAACCCTCCCTCGGCAACCACCACCACCTTTCCGATTGTTCCTTCCGTGAATCCGCGATTGTTCGCGAGACCGCAACCCCCTCTCGTTTCTCCGATTCTCTCTCGCGCGCGTGAGAACAGGGAAAATTGAAACCTCTCTCTCTCTCTCTCTCCCTCCCTCCCCCCCTGCTCCCTACCGTTCTTTACATCTGTTCCCGCTTTGTTCTCGTCAAAGTTGGTGGCAATTGCTCGTTTCGTCACGACCTATTAAGAACGAATTTAAAAAAAAAAAAAAGAAAAGTACACGCGATCTCTGCGCGGGGAACAGCAAAGTTAAAAAAAGTTGGCGGAGAGAAGAAAAAAAAAAGGAAGAAGAAAGGTGGAAGAGAAGTAGGTAGAATCGAACGTGTTACTTGGAATATAACTTTTCGGGGAAAGAGAAAGTTGGAGAAACGTTTCGTTTCGTTGGTGGCAAGGGTGGAAGATGGAAGGTAGGGAAGAAACGAGGCAGGTAGACAACGGTGGACAATTACAGATAGGCAGAAGGAACAATGAGGAGGGAAGGGGAGGGAAGGCGAGTCGTAAATCGTCGGGGGAAAGGAAACAGGTGGAGAGGCGCGTGATCGCGAGCGGTAGCGCGCGGTACGTGTATGGAAGAGGGGTATAGCAGCAGATTGAGTAACTGACCTTGCGAAGAAAGCTGCGGCTGCGCTCGCCTGCGCCGGCGTCCCCGGTACCCCGCTCACGTTGTACGAGTACTTGGTCTCCTGGTACACTTGATACGCGGTTTGCGGTTGTTTCGAGTGCGACGATCGGTGATAATAGTGATCGGCGTACACGCTCTTCTCGGCTGGGCGTTCACCGCCGCCGACCTTGGACAGGCCGTAACTCTGCATCGCGGGCGAGCACAAGGAGGAGGAGGAGGAGGTGGACACTTTCGAGTGACACTTCTCGTTCTTCTCGCTCGCCCCGTGCAAATGGGATTTCTCGTGGGCAGAGACGACGACGCCCAACGCCGGCTTGTCGATCGTCCCGTAAGACTTCAAGTCGTAACCCTTCAACTCGCCGTAGTACCTCATGTTCTCCACCTTGAACCCGTGACCCGTTACATCACCGTGACCCTTCGACTTGCCGCCCACTTGCTGCTCCGCCCCGTGCTTGCCCCCGTAACCGAGTTCCTGCCCCGATTTCATCCTATCCCCGCCGCACTTCCCACCCCCCACCACCCCCTCGATCCCGTGAACGATCCCTTTGCTCGAATCCCTTTTCTCGATCTTCAACATCGATCTGTCGCACACACGACCTTGCACCGCCTCGCTCGCCTTCAGCAAACAATCCACGGCACCCTTGTACCTGTCGCACGTCGACGGATCGCACGCCACACCGGAACCACTTTGGCAGGCATTGCCGGGAACCGCGCCTCCGACACCGATGCTCGTGCACCGATTCTGATGATGATGATGATGATGATGATGAAGGTGGTGGTAGTGGTGATGATGATGGAACGACGACGACGACGACGACGACGACGACGACGACGACACGAACGCTTTCGAAAAATCCCCGTGACACCTGGTGGTCAAACCGCCGGATATCACCTCGCCCTCTTCGCTCGCATCTTGATACGCCTCCTCTTTGTTCGAGTTGTTGCCGCTGCCGCTGCTTACGTTGTTGTTGTTGTTGTTGTTGTTGTGGTTGTGGTTGTTGTGGTGACTGTTATTGTTGTTGTTGTTGTTGTTGTTGTTGTTGTTGTTCGTGGTGGTGGTGGCAGTGGCGTTGGGGCAACGCGTGTCGCACGACTTGTAGGGGAGCCGCGACCGCGACGAAGGAGCGCGTGTTGCTTCTCGCGCGGTTGGCGTGATACTGGTCAGATTAGAGGGCGTCTCGGCGCCATGAGTTCCCCTGCTGGAGTTACTACCACCACCGCCGCCGCCGCCGCCACTGCCGCCGCCGTTGCCACCGCCGCTACCGATGCCTACTACCAAGCTCCCTCCTCCTCCTCCTCCTCCTCCACCTTGCCGTTTGCCCCTCTCCTCCTGTCGAATTGATAAGGTTACGCGTAACCGTGAAACTTCTCGGCGAAACTTCGCGGCCAAGGAGAGACCAAGGAGGGAGGAAGAGGCGGAGAGGGGATCGGGGAAATGTTCGCTCACCTGGACGCGTTTGTAGTCGTCCTGGCCACGTCTGGCCACCTCCGAGTACTTTGGCGGTGGCTCGGATCTCGGCGGCGTTTCCTGATACCTCGGCGGCCTGTCGAATTGCCTGTACTTGGGCGGATCGATGTAAGGATTGTTCCGATGCCTGTAATAATTGGGCAGTTGACAATCGGTCAGATCGGATTGGGATCTGTTCAGTTGGTAATTGGGTGGCGGCGCGATAGCAGCTCCTTTCTGCTCCTGCCTCGCGTGTTTCGAGGTAAGGCAGCACGCTTTGGCCTCCTGGACGCCGCCCGAACAACCGTGCGCCTTCTCCCTCTGTCCTTTCTCGCTTTTGTCCTTCCCTCCTCCTGCTCCGTCCGATTTGCCGTCTTTCGCCGCCTTTTCTTGCGACGCGGGCCCATCGATCTCGTAGAAGGTCAACTCCTTTTTGCCCTGACCCTTCTCCACCGCGACACCGCGATGCGTCTTCGCGGAGTGGACGTTCTCCGCTCTTGAGGAGGCGGGCGGATCTATGTGATAGAAGGTCAACTCGCGGGAATCTTGAGACTTGGACCGCGCCTCGTGGGTCGAATGGTGCTGTCGCTCGGGCTGCGAGTGACTCCTCGCGTATCTCTGATCGATCTTCCCGGCAACCTCTTGATGCCTCGACGACGACAACGACGTTAATCTCGCCAACCTCTCGTTCGGCCCCAACCTGACCGAGTTCCGCCCGTACTCCGCATACTCGTCCCCGTACTTCAACGCTTGCCGCGGCTTGTACTTCTCCTCGAACTGGGAATAGTTGTACGTGTTGAACCCCACCTGATTGAAATTTCTGCTCAGATTCGACGAGTCGTAGTCGGTCGACGTCACAGCCTCCATGTTTATCTGCAAGAACAGAGAGATCTTCCGGTCAGGATCCGTGGAAAGGATCGAAAAACAAAACCTACTACTAGTACTAGTACTAGTAGTAGTAGTAGTAGTAGTAGTAGTAGTAGTAGTAGTAGTAGTAGTAGTAGTAGCAGCGATAGTGGTGGAGATGGCGGAGCAAAGAGGAGAGGAAAAGAGACGAGAGATCGAAGGAAGAGAGAGGAAGAGGGAGCCGAGGGCGGCCGAGGAGACCATAAATCGGGGAACGTCTTACTCCTAAATGCCCGGGGTATTTACCGTGAAACAAAAAGCCACGGCGCGATAAATAAAATCTGACACCGAGGGGGCGTGCCCTCGCCTCTCCCCTTCGTCCACCTCTTCGTTTCGCGGATGAAAGCGCCGCTTCCTTTCCTCCTCCTCCTCCTCCTCGCTATTCTTATCTCGCGCGTTCCGCGACGAAACCGCGATCTCTCTCCAACGAACCCCCCCGACTCGCCGAGGGTTGCAGAGCTCGGCTCTCGGCTCGCTGTCCACGAATTCCACGTCGAAAATCGTCGAGTCGCGGTCCGAGGAGGAACCGGTTCGCGCCTCTTCGACCCGAAGGCCAATCGATTGCGCCTGTATGCGTGCGTCTCGCGAGAGAGGCCCGCTTTCACGATGCGACCGAGATCGCGCGCGCCGTTTCTCCTCGTCTTTTTCCTTTCCTTTTTTTTATTTTCCCCTCCTCTCTCCACTCGAGCCCTTATCCAGAATATCCTCGCTGCGAGGCACCGGTAGATGCGAGATCGCGATTAACCGATTCGACCAACTCGCGGCAATCCACCTTTCGACGAGTTTGCGCCCTACCTACCTACCTTTTCTCTTCCATCCACGAGGTTTTAATTACCAGCTTGCTTCTCCTCCCTCCTCCTAATATCGCGAATTAAAATTCGAATTAAGATTCGAAGGGAACGGGGGAGGGTGTGTCTCTCGATAAGAACGAGGGAAAGAACGCTCGAGTCTCGATAAGAGAGGAACGGCATTAATAAGGAAGGGAATCCACGCCTTGGACGGAGTGGATTAGACGGGGATTAGAGATGGCGATCGGTGGCATTTTCGCGAGCAATTTCGGCCGACCTTTCGACCCGAGATCGAATTTCGCTGATCGAGAGAGCCGTTGAAGAGGCGTGTTGCCGGGTCACCGGGTATATCGAACTCTTGGAGAGTAACTCGTTGGAGCGGGATGGAGAGGAGCGGCATGCCCCCTCGGGGCCCGCGGTTATATATTACCGGCTGTAATGAAGACTCCAGAGCTCGGCAGCCGAGCTACCGAGCCACAGCCTTGTTTATCACCTCGCCTCAAATATACAATTAACATGTTGAAAACCCGCCCGGAGCTCGCCGAAATCGCAACCTTCCTCTCCCTTTCCCCGCGCCGGCAAAGAAAGGGTTGCTCTCTCTCCTCTCGTTACACCGCCTCGATCCACGTTTCCCTTCTCCTATCCCCTCCTCCGATTATATCTCGAGATTATTCCGAAATTACCGGTCGCGACCGGAGCGCAGAAGATTCTTTCGAAAAATAGCCTCCGAGTTTCGAGAAGTAACGCGGCTCCTCCTCGAGGAGGTCTGAATATTGGCGGCAAAATCTTTCTTTCCTTCCCCTCCCCCCTCCCCTTTCCTCGACCGACCGCGTTATTAAACGTAATTAAAGAGAAAGGCTGTCCGCGATTCCCGCACGCGATTTTACACCATTTATATTCAAAGCGGATAATAATTCGCCTTCGCCACTCGCGAGAAAATCGCGATCGTGTTCGAGGAGGGGAGGGGAGGGATGGTGAAAAGGCGACACGGCGGCGACACGGAGCGGAAGTCTCGTAAATAAGAATTATTCGACTCGGGATTATTCCGTTCCCCTCCGTCGCGATACGCTGCTGCTGCTACTACTACTACTACTACTACTACTATTATCGACAGTGGTTGCGCCCGTTGCGTCAGAATTCTCGTTTATCTTCATCCTTCAATTTCCCGTGTACACGCGCTCGATCGTCCCAGAAAAATAAAACGAGGCTACCCACCACCATCTGCACGAGCACCTACGGATAGCACAGTCCCTTCCAACGGCCGTCATCCGCACGGATGCGACGGATATTGCATCGAATCGGTTACAAAGTCTCTCCCAGCCTCTCTCCTTAGCTCCAGCTTACCGGAGGAGGATGGATAGGGCGCCCACCTTCTCGCATTTTTCATTTATTCCCCTTCCTCCGTTGTACCCCGTGCAATCTTTCGAGAATTAATGGATCCGCCTAACTTCGCGAGTTTATGGCATCTTTAACGCCTGGCCCTGTATCTTTAATAAAACCGATAATAATCCGAAAGCGAGTTTCTTTCGTCGGGAAAGCGACGCTTCGATATTAATAATTAACGAGGGGATCGATTAATTACCTTGTCTCTTGCTATCGATCTTGTTACGATTTTAAAACGATTCGTGGAAAGAACGATATCGAAATCGAAAGGCTCGTGCCTTTCTTCCTGCTCGACCGAATCGAAATAAAATCGTTGGAAGGAGGACGATAATGACGTTGTTTGCATTGGCAATGATAAGTTTCGTTACGGAGACGGCGGGGAGAAAGGACGCGGTGTCTGGGAACGGGGCCCCGTAATTACGGTTACCGGTCGAATTATCCTGCCTCTCGGTTTCGCGCACACGAGGGTGTCGGCTCGAAAGGAAACGACCACCTTCGAGCGGATTCGAGATTATTAGACGTGTTATTAGACGAGAAATCGACAAACGGTTCTCCAACTGTTATTTCGTTCCTCGTTTCGCGAATCGTTTCTGCGTGTTCCGCGTCGCGGAAAATTAAATCGGAACGCAAAAAAGAAAAAAAAGAAAAAAAAAAAGGGAAGAGAAAAAGTCGATCGATCGCAGGTGTTCGAGGCGACGTACGATAATCGTCCCCGACGAAAGAGAAATCGCGTGTAATAACGAAGCGAACAACAATCAACGGAGCATAATTAATCTCCTCGGCGAGACGAGAGAAAAAATTCTGCAAGTGGAAAAAGGTCGAGAGTTGGCCGAGAAAAGGCTAATAAAACTGTTCCAACCAGTCTCGAGAAATGCGATCGTCTTCCTTCCCCTGTGATGCTAATTAGCTGTTTAATCGACGACGGTTGCTTTTCGAAAACAGAAGTCTCGAACAGAGAGAGGGGGAGAGAGAGAGAGAGAGAGAGAGAGAGAGAGCGCGTGTGTGCNCCAC